ATCCATGCAGCAGTGCTAGTTCTGTGAACAAGGCTCAGCCTTCAAGGCTGTCAGTCTGACAACTTTCACATGCGTTAAATTTATCCTTCATGAATGCACCTTTGTGTAGCATTGTGTTTATTTTTAGGTCCTGCCCAGGAGGACTCATGCTGACAAAAATAGAACTGGGAAAATATATAAATACGACTGTTTTGCTGAATACTGGTTTGTGCTAACAGGTTTCATACATTTTTAGGAAGCAAAGAGCCAAAATTACACAAGCATGCTTAATTAGGAAATTTTGTGTTTTAATGGCTCTTTAGCAATGTGCTTTTCCTACTTCTGTAGCATGAACAATGCCTAGAGCTTCGTGGGATTACAGGATAATACCAAAGACAGAACTACGTAGCACTTTACAGACTAACAAGATGGTTTATTAGGTGATGAGCTTTTGTGGGCCAGACCCACTTCCTCAGATCAATATGTGGAAGTGGGTCTGGCCCAAGAAAGCTCATCACCTAATAAACCATCCTGTTAGTCTTTAAAGTGCTACATAGTCTGGTGTAGCTGAAACAAAAGACAGAACTAACACGGCCGCATCTCTATCAGGATAATACCAGGCATTGATTCTCAGTAGTGAGGAATGATATGTGTATTTCCTTCATGTGTGACTTGCTATTTAAATGTGAAAATGTGTGTGCATGCAATGAAGTGGTTGGTGCTGTATGTAGTATATCTCATGTACTATAACTCAGTTCCTTTACTGTTCTCGTGTACTGTGGATTACTGTCCCTGGGTCAGCCATGTGTTGTTACTTTTCTGCATTAATACTGTTACCCAAAGTTGTGCTTACCTAACAGTTAAGTGCCTGGAAAGTCAGAAAAATGAGGAAAAAAAGAGTTTATTGAAAGTAATAATGCTTAATCCAGGTAGGGGGCATAGATTAATAGAAAGGACACATCCAGGCTATGTCTACACTGGCAAGTTCTTTTGCAAGAACGGCCATTCTTCCGCAGTGTCCATACTGCCTGCCCGCTCTTGCGCAAGAAGTTTTACAGTAAAACATGGTAAGAGAGGGATGCTTGCACAAGAGCTACGCTCTTTTCCAACAAGTGTAATCCCTCTTGCTCAAGAATTCTTGTGCAAGAGGGCAGTGTGGACACGCGGCAGGGGTTTCTTGCGCAAGAAAGCCCTATATCTAAAATGGCTATCAGAGCTTTCTTATGCAAGACAGCGTCCACACTGCCATGGATGCTCTTGCGCAAAAGCACATGGCAGTGTGGACATGTTCTTATACAAGAACCCTTGTGCAAAATATTCTTGCGCAAGAAGCGCTGGTGTAGACATAGCCCCAGTGTGGTGATCATTTATTCTAATTTTACAGACAGGTAGTATGGCAAAACTCTGGCCTTGCCCCATGGGTCCTGCACTTCCTGACAGTTAGTGTTTGCCTCCGAGGCTCACAGTGACCCTCCACACAGTCTCTGACCCTTTACTAGAAGCAAAGATCACAGCTTACTCAGCCATTCTTAGCAAAGGCTAGTCCATAGTTTGGGGTGAAACCCCTCCATAGTGCTAGTCTCCTCTCAAGGACAGACTCTGTAGTGACATGGGGAGGGTTGGGGGGAATCTGAGCCTACCCACTACTCCAGGTTACAGACCAGGGATCCTAACATAGTGGCAACTGGCAGCATTTCCTCCACTCCCAGTCTTGCAACTTTTCCTGGGCCAGTTCCCAAAACAATTCCTCCCATCTCCCTAGTGCCTGAGCAATCCTTCCTGCTTCTCCACAGCACTCTGTCACACTCTCAACCCTTCACTCTCTCTCAATGTGCCTCCTCTTAGTCCTGGGCTTTTCCCCCTCCTCTTCCTGAGGAAAAGCCTTTTAAACTGACCTCAGCAGGCTTTAATTGGCTGCAGGTGTTCTGACGAGCCTACTGCTTCAGCAAGCTCTTAATAGGCCTCAGGTGCCTGCCTGCATTGATTATATGGCAGTAGTGCCTGGCCAGTTCACTCAGGGAACAGAAAACTATTCACCCAGTTTCCTATATATTTGCCCTCCACCAACCTACTGTAGCCAGCTGCCCTGGGTCTGTCACAGTAGGTATATAACAATACCTACCTTTTCTATTGTGCCTTTGATCAGTAGCTCTGAAGTCACTTTACAATAGAGATAAGTGTCATCTCCATTTTACACATTGGGAAACTGAAACACAGAGTGGGAATAGAACCAAGGTCACTCAAGTCTAGTATTCTATCCCCCAGACCTAAGTAGAGAGAGATAAAGTTTGCATTTTCAAACTTGGTGCCTAAAGTTAAGTTCTAATAGTCATATTCAGGCACCAAAATAAAGATGTCTTTACTTTTTCTTAATGTCCCAGACCCGTGGCCCATGCACTGATTCAACCTGTCCCCTCTATGCCTCTGTGCCACCAGATTCAACAATGAAGGAAAATGGGGTAGTACAGTGATGAATCAGGCCCATGGTGTTCATGAGACTTACTAAAGCTATTGTATTTCTGTGATGAGGAAACTAAATCCTAACGCTAATTTTACTGAAGTACATTCTAATTTGTTCAGGTCAGCAGTCAGTAAGGAATGATTTGATCAGGATAACAGTAAAGGTGGTTCAGTTGCTGAGAGAGAATCAGATGGGTAGGTACTGTACTGTTCTTAGTGAGAGCCTGCTGCTTAGGAAAGTGTCTGACAGGGAAGGATCTGGGGGAGACAGCTGATGGTGAACTTAACATGAACATCCATTGTGAAGTTGCCAGACAAAGATTAATGCCAAATACAAACACAAGCACAATATTATGTGATCCTCCCTAAAAATCACTTCTTTCATGAGGCCTATATTCCATAGTAATTCCCCAAACAAGGTGTTAGAAAATGGCCTTCACCCCACCCTCCCCACAAACCAGGCAAAATTCCCAATCAAATGCCAGAACTTGAAACTAACAAGACACACAGAGCCATATTCAGCTACTCCTAAGTGCACTGAGTAGCAACTTACACCTCAGCTGGTCTCTCTAACTTCAATCACTACCCAACATAAGTAAGGGAGACAGTCTGTCCTTTATATTACCTCCCATTAATATTGTATTACTCCTATCTTAAAAATAGATTGTATTAAACATATATTTACATGCTTAAATTTGAAATATTATTCTTCAAGTGTTCAGCCCCCATAAGAACTCTTTAGGCAAGAAAAGAAAAAGAGAAAGTATCTCTCAAATATATAGTAGTTAGTACATGCTTAAATTTGAAATATTATTCTTCAAGTGTTCAGCCCCCATAAGAACTCTTTAGGCAAGAAAAGAAAAAGAGAAAGTATCTCTCAAATACAGTAGTTAGGACAAACTACTAGTTAATCCCTCTACAGTCATTCAGAATGAGCACAAAGCTACAAAACTATTGACAGTAATTTCACACATGCGCACACATCTGGGGTCTTACCCTCAAAGCATTTAACTCTTAGACTTATAGGCCTTTTAGTTGTCTGTTGAAGGGACAATGAAGTGTGCTCTGTTTTTGTGCATCTTGAAGAGATTAGCCTTAAAACTTTTTTTTTTAAAGTATAGCATTGTTTTCCACGATCTGCTTTGGTTTGGAAGTGAATACTTATAACTTGCATACAAATTCAACTTAAGAACAAACCTACAGTCCCTATCTTGTACGTAACCCGGGGACTGCCTGTACTAGTTAATCCCTCTACAATCATTCAGAATGGGCACAAAGCTACAAAACTATTGACAGTAATGTCACACATGCGCACACATCTGGGGTCTTACCCTCAAAGCATTTAACTCTTAGACTTATAGGCCTTTTAGTTGTCTGTTGAAGGGACAATGAAGTGTGCTCTGTTTTTGTGCATCTTGAAGAGATTAGCCTTAAAACTTTTTTTTTTAAAGTATAGCATTGTTTTCCACGATCTGCTTTGGTTTGGAAGTGAATACTTGAGCTTTGATTTAGCCCAGTATAATCCTTTAAAAGGAATGAGATATCTTATGAATTCAACTGTTTAGGCTCATGGGTTCCAAAGGAAACCATGGGTAATATTCCTGATGTCACAAATTATTTTAAAAAGTAACACTTGAAAATCTGTATTCACAACAGAGTTCATTCCAGTGCACTTTGTGAAAGTTTCCCCCCTCATACCTTTCCTCCCCTCCCCCATTGGCTGACTTTCTCTGTAAGAACAAATTTGGATACATACTGCATGTTCTTACTGTATGAACTTTCCAACCATTTGTAAAAGTTTCCATTAACGAAATTCAATAAACAACTCAAGGACTCTTGAACTAATGTTGAGCCACAGATATATTATAATAGTGCCATTATTACAAGAGGTTAAATAAACCCAAATAAAAAACCTGGATCTGAATAGCCAAGAACTTCAGGGAAGTTCAGGTTTAGAACTTTGCAGTTTGGAAACAGTTCTGCAAATGTTTATATACCACAGAAGGAAGTATGAAATATTCTGGGCTAGATCCTCATCTGATATAAGTCAGCGTGGCTGAATGGAGCTAAGCTATTTAACATTAGCTGAGAATCAGGCCCTTTATTCTTAGACACTCAAAACCTAACTCTCATTTATACAGGTTGAATCTCTCTAGTTCAGCAACATACGTGATCTGGCGTGATTTTAGTTTAGTCTGATGGCCACTGATCATGGGAGTGGCCAACTTTCCCACAGTCCCATAAAGTTTCTCAACATTGTGGCCAACTTTCCCACAGTCCCATAACGTTTCTCAACATTCTGGGCTGTTATTTAATTCTCATTTCCCCTAAATACCTTCTAAGAGTCCAGTAAGCAGTGGAACTGTTGGTAATGCTGTTAGACAATATTGACTTCCTGTGATCTGGTAAATTCTCTGGTTTGGCACTGGTCAGGTCCCAAAGATGCTGGACTAGAGAGGTTCAACCTGTACCTAGGTGTAGTTAAGGCCACTTTATACTGTTAGAGTGGTATGCAGTGGGCTACGGCCTGGTTTACACTAGGAATTTACAACAGTATAGCTTTCAGGGAAGTATGAAAGGCATAGCTATAACCAGAACAGTATAGCTTTCAGGGAAGTATGAAACACACACCCATGAAAGGCATAGCTATAACCAACCTAATCCCCACTGTAGACAGCACTAGCTACCACTTCTTGAGGATGTGGATTATCTACACCAACAGAAGAACCCATCCCATTTGCCTAGGTAGTGTCTACACTGGAGTGCTATAGCTGGGCAGCTGCACCAGTGCAGCAGCCAGTGATGACTGGTACCTGCTGATAATAGTGGGGCACAATTTAAAGATTCCCCTTCTCCAACAACTTGAATCACACACACAACAGGCATACCCCCTTACCCTCGGTATCCCCATTCTACAGCCCCTACCTGTTTGCTGTTGCTTCCCCCTGCAGAACTAAAGCTGTGGCTCTCCCTGGCAGAAATCTGGGGTGGCACATGATCCGTGACATGTCGCCTCTGGCCTGCAGAACTAAAGCTGTGGCTCTCCCTGGCAGAAATCTGGGGAGGCACATGATCCGTGACATGTCATCTCTATTAGCAGTGCCCTGCACTGTGTTAAGTATAGACATACTGGAAGTATAAATGAGAATCAGACTCAGCTTTCTTAACAGCAGAATTTGAATGGTAGACATTTATATGGAGGAGTTCTTTTTTGCGCTTTCTTACATCAACAAATTATGTTCATAGGACCTAATCCCAAAGCCCACTGAAGTGAATGAGAGTCTTTCCATTGTACTCCATGGTTCAGGTTTTTAGAATTTAATTCTCATCTCATATCAGTTTTACTAGATATAATAACGTTTAGACAAGCTTGGTGTTCATTCCCACCAGCATACATCTGAGTAACCCATTTACATAAATGAAATTGCCGCAGATGTGCAGTGGAGCTGAAAAAAATGTAGTTCACTGACTTCAGTAGAATTATGTCTGATTGACACCAATGTAAGTGGGCGCAGAAATTTGGAAACTGTGTCAGGAAACCATAAAATAAACACTAGGCCTGACATTTTCCATTCTGGTTTCTGATTTCATGAGGCCAGTTTTGTGTGAGCAACTTTCATGCATGTGTCAACATGACACACAAGTGAACAATTTGTATGCAAATATGTGGGATTTGCATTCATGCAAAATAGCATGCACCCACTTGGTAGATGCAGTCTGCTGCACATTTACAAATGGGACCACCCAATTGATATCCAGCTGATGAGAATGCAACCCTATAAAATGATCCGCAATTAAACACAGTTGTAAATTGCAGTAGATGTCCTGTGTGTTCCTATAAACTAATTTTAAATGTCAACATGGCTTGAATGTTTAGAAAGTTAATAGGAAGTACAGTCCACAAACAAAAAATACTTTAACAGAAAAGTGTGGTATCCAGTGTGATGAGATTATAATCTGGACAGATTACAAACCCACTTGATTATAGTTTTATTGACTACATACGAGTGCATGATGAGAAGGCATCATTTATATATGCTGGCCTATAACTCCTTCCACCCCGTTCAAGACTAAACTTTATAGGAAGCCTGTATACAGAATAAGACTGATTCACTGAGCCTGCCTGACACATCTGTAAAGACACAAATTGCGACATTCTAGATAAACAGAGTCCTTGAGCTAATATAATCAGAAGACACACAAAGTAAAAAAAACAACACAGTAATTCAGCCTTGAGTAAGTGAAGATACTCACTAGAGATTCTAAATTGTTTTACTGAGCAGCAGTGTCAGCCTTGCAATATTCTGTAAATTAAGTAGAGAGTTGCCTTAGTAATGGAACCACAGTGCATATCCATTAATAAATCTGAGGACAAGGTAACAGAGTTGAAGGTTTTGACCATGTACAATTTGGACTAAACTCATCATTGTATTTCAAGGAGTGGCTGTTGCTGTTGGTATCTACATATATATGCACGTTATTTGCTCTCTGGTTCATTTTGTCAATCCAAGTTGTGTTATATAAATAACTCTCACAACTAGGGAGATGTCAAAATTAGAACTTTGAAACCTTCCTCTTAAACTTCCCCAAATGTCAAATCTGAATGTTGTGTCTCTGTCATATTGTTAGTCAAAATGCCCCAATGGAGTCAGTGAATGCAGCAGGGTGGTATAAGGAGTCAGAGGACTCAAACCATCTTCCCCTACCCAAATTAGGACACACTGGTAGTCCTGGGAGCATCTCATGAAGCTTTGTGTTGGAATGATGTTAGGATCCAACCCATCTTTTGTTTTACCGGAATAGGCATGTCCTCAGAACATGAGCACTAGAACATAAGCAGTGTTCTGATTCTACACCTTCCTCCATTTCCTCCATGAGTAGACTGATGATAGTTGTGCAGTGCTGGAATGGAACACAGCTTCAGAACTATGTATTCTTCTGCATCACATTCACATGCAGCATAGTATTCCTCTCCTCCTCAGAGTTCCACTTCATTACATTCACATTTAGTGCACATTCCCCCACACAAGAATAATTAGCTTACTGTGAGTGTTCTAACAGTGAATACAGTATTACCCTCATGCAAAACAAGTAACAGAAGCTTTAGAGTTACAAAGCCTAAGCATTATAAAGTATAGTAATGACCAACTGGAGTAATTTTTATAAATATTCCATTAGCCTCATAATTACCTACATTTCATTAGGGACAGTATTGGCAGGGGACAATTTACCTCATACACAATAACTTTAACTCTGACCCAGTCGATGAACAGTTCCAATGTTCCCTAGAGTTTAAAGAGGATTAAAGATTTAAGCAGGTCATAAATCAGCTCTGAGATTTATTAAGTGAAAATTGAAACGTCATCATCATTCTATGGAAATTTTCTTTCCAAAGACAACCTTCAACTTCTAATTGGGCAGTGTCAAGCACTTCGTTAACAATCGCCCTAACATTCTGTAGCTGGGTTGGTCTTCTGTGCTGTGTTAATTTTTGGTGGGAGCCAACTGAATACAAATACTCAGTATAAATTTAGAACTGGAGTGGAGGCTTGGAACGTTTTCTGGCAGCAATCTACAAAAAAGAGTTGCAAGGATAATTTGGTAAAGCAAAGAACTTGTGTGTGCTTTTTCTGACAGTGAACTATTTTATGCAGTTTCTTTGATCTGATTGTAGTTATTTTTATAAGCTTGTTTTCATAAGGCCAGATCCAGTTACATCAGTGTAAATTTGAAGTAATTCCATTGAGTCAGTGAATTTACTTTGGATTTATACTGCTGTAACTGAGATCAGAATTTGCCCCACTATGAATAACCCTAATAATACTTTGTACTTCATAGATTCATTACTTTTAAAGCCATAAGGAACTATTGTTATTATTTAGTGAGGCCACAAGACTTCACTGAATTAATTCCTGCTTCAAATCCAGTAGCTGTGGTTGAACTAACAAAAGCATATCTTTCAGAAAAACACGAAGCTTAGCTGAAATTTTTCCAGAGATAGAGAAGCCATGGCAAATTGTTTCAAGGGATAATTAGCCTGTTATACATTTCTGTCTTATTTCTAGTCTGAATTAGTCTTCAGCTTCATATTGTACCTTTGTCGGCTAGCTTGACTTTAGTTTTAAAACCTCTTAAAATGTTTTGTTCCAATATAGTTTCTTATAGACTATGATCAAGTTACTCCTTAACCTTCTCTGTGCTAAGCTAAGCAGAGGGAATTCCTTGAATCTCTCGCTGTAAGGCATATTTTCTAATCCCTTAACAATTCTCAGGACTTTTTTCTGAACCTTTCTAAGTTTTCTATATCTTTCTTGAATTGTGGACATTGCAACTGGATGTAGTATTCCAGTAGACACCACATCCATGCCAGATACAGAGGTATATAACCTTCCTATTCCTACTCGATATTCCATCAAGGGGTCATGTTAGCCCTTTTAGCCAAAGCTTTGCACTGGGAATTCATGTTCAGATGAAGCCAGGGCCACTGCTTCCTAGGGTAGAGCACACCATCCTGTAAGTATGGCACACACTCTTTGTTCCTAGATGTGTGACTTTACATTTGGCTGTATTGAAACACATCCTGTTTGCCTGTGCCCTGGAGTGCTGGGTGAACCACAGGCATGAGATTAGTCTCTGGCACAGCCTGCCCCTTCTGCCTGAAGTCCTGAGCCTCCTGATTCCCTCCCCACACCAAAGCCCAAAGGCCTCCCCATGGCTCCCAGCCCTGTACCTGCCAAGCAGTTCCAGCTCCAGACTGCCAGGTGGGCTGTGTGCTGACCCTCCTCAACCCCAGATCACTAGGCAAGTGGTGTACTTCCCCTCCCAATCCCATAGCATTGAGCAGGCAACTTGTGGCTCCCTCCAGCCGTGAAGCAACAGGTGAGCAGGCAGGCTGTGTATTACCCGCTCCAATCCCTGAGCAAGAGGTGGGCAGCACATGGTCCCCCAATCCTGGAGCAGAAAAATAGTGAAAACATTACAGTGTATACATGAATCAATCAGCATTCATGGGATTCTATGTTCAGGTCTGTTCACTCCATCTCAGAATGGATAGAGCAAAAACGGCAAAGGAGATTCAGAAATGGACAACAAAAATTATTAGAGGCGTGGGAAAAACTCTCTCAAGAAGAGACATTGTAAAAATTGGGAAGGAGGCAAATAAGAGGGCAATGTGATAAAGAGATACCAAATAATGAATAGTAGTGAGAAGATAAAGCAGGAATTTCTATTCAGCATGATACCAAATAATGAATAGTAGTGAGAAGGTAAAGCAGGAATTTCTATTCTCATAATAAGAGAAGAGGATGAAGCATTCAATGAAATTGAAAAGTGGAAATTTCAAAACTCATGAAATACTTTTTCACACAACACACAGTTAGCCAAAGGAAGGATGAGTAGGACATTAGTCTTTGATTTTGGAGACCTGGATTCAGTTCCCTCTATCTAAAGCAGCTTTGTGTGATCTCGCTCAAGTTACTTGGGAATAAGAATACTGCTCTGCCTTAAAAGGTTGTAGTGAAGATAAATATATTAGAGTGTACGGTGCTTAGATGCTACAGTAGCAGGAGTCATATAAATACTTAATCTAGATAGACAACATCATTGAGGCGAAGTGCTTAGCAGAAAATGATTGGACATTTCTAAGGAGACCCAGAATTGTAATAGTAAAGATGAAAAAATAAAATCTGAAGAGTTTTGGAAGGGAGATAAACTCTCTCATGGCTTAGGGCATAAATTGGCCTGTAACTAATAGAGACTAGAAAGATTTCTTTTGTGGATGTCCTGCTGGGTTTCTGGCACATTCCTCTGAGCCTCCAGGGCTGGCCCCTGTCAGAGAAAGGGATTCAAACTAGATTAATCAGTGATTCCTATGGTTTAAATATCAATAAATGAAGGTGATGATTCACTCAGTGCTGGCAGTATTATTCACTATCTTCTCTCATTTGCTGTAGCTTCTGTATATTTGAAAGAGTTTGTCCATCTGTCAGTTTATTCAAAAACCCCTCCTAAATGGTAACAGCTAAATTTAGTATGCAGCTTCTTATTATTATAACTTAAATCAAGGTAAGGGTTTGGCTGTGCCAGGAGAATGGGATGTGCCTTAAATGGGATTGCTTCTCATAAAACCATACAGAAACAAAACACAATCACCAAGCAGGTGGCACACACCTCCCAGTGCAGGACTGCCCCAACCCTGAGCCTCCCAACCCTAGGTACCCCTTAGGGAGGAAGGGGGGGCTGAAGCTTTCCTCCCCCAATTCACACAGGGACATTGCTGGCTGTTCCCCTTTGTCAGGAAGTGAGGGAAAAGTGCACAGTTTACTACATTCCTCAACCTGGCTGGGGAGCGCCTGAGGCAAACAAACCTGGACCTGTCCCAACCCTCCCCTGGCTGTTCCCGCTGCAGTGGCCATGGTGAGACGTTTCTCATCTGGGCTCAAGCTGCTGCAGTAAGAGAGGGCTCAGGTAGTCTTCTCTTTACGGGACAGCCAGCATAATGAACCCCACATCCCAAGTCCTACCACAAATCAATGATTGAAATAAAGAAAAACAAAAAAATATTTAAATTAAAGACTCCAGCAATACCAGGTCAATTTTATAGTATTTTCATATTTAAAAAAATAATACAGGTCAAACCTCTCTAGTCTGGGATTCACTGGTCCAGCAATATCTGTGGCCCAGCATTGTCAGAGACTCTGTGGGTGCTCCAGGACTGGAGTACTTACAGGGGAAAAACTGGTGCAGCTGGACCACAAATGTTGCCAGACCAGATTGCTGGGAAGCAGCTGGGAGTGGAGCCTGGGGCTGGCAGCTGTTGGAGCACAGCAGCCAGGGCTGGGAATTGGAGCCCAGTGGCCAGAAGTGGAGCGGGCCCAAATAGCTGGCACCACGGGTTGGGGACCAGCAGCTTGGAGCAGAGCCCAGAGTCCATAAGCCAGCAGCAGAGGGGCTGGTATTGACCTCCCCAAGTCCAGCCATTTCCCTAATTTGGGACCAGACAGATCCCAAGCAACATTGCTATCTTCTCAAACTACAAGGGAAACAAACATGCTGCAGAGATTTCTCTTAGGCCTAGTCTTCACTTATTAGGAGATCGACGCTATGGAGATCAATCTCCCGGGGGTTGATTTAGCAGGTCTAAAATGGAATGTACTAAATCAACCTCTGATCATGCTCCCGTTGACTCTGGTACTCCACTGGGTTGTGAGGAGTAAGGGGAATCAACAGAAGAGTTTCTCTGCCAACCCCTGACAGTGGGGATGTCGTGAAAAGTCAAACTAAGGTATGTCAACTACAGCTACACTATCCACATATCTTAATTTGGCTTTGCCCCCTACTGTAGACCTGACCTTAGTTAAATGCCTCCCATAATTACTCCTGATGCAATTTACTCCTTGCTGAGGGCAGTGTGTATAAACACAATCTAGCCCTTAGGAATAAATATACTTTTCTTCTTTTAATTTATATTTTCATAAGCAATGCATCAATTAATGGATGTAAATTAAATGCATTAAAAATAACAGTACAGTTGGGAAAAGTGTGAGTAAATTCCTCTAAAAGCTATTAACAAATGTAATACAATTCCTGTTTTCTTTTAAACTAATTCCCCATCCTCTGTCCAAGGTCAATATGATAACAGCTCCATCCCTGATTGTAAGCACTGCTATTTTTCCCAGATAAACTTTCCCTAATTTTGTTTAAAAGCCTGAACTTATCAGCACAATGTCTCTCTATAAAACTAAAACTGATCCAGTCATAGATGGGCAATCACCAAGAGAAAATAGATTGTTTTCAGCAGCGGAGCTGTGCCTTTTCCCTTGTATTTGAATGCAGTGTTGTGGTTGATGTAGCAACATGAAGAACTGTGGCCAGTACTGGATGGCTTGCTGCACCATGCAGTTTTCAAGCAACATCCAGTACACAGCATAGTAGAGTTTACTGCTCAGAAAACTGGTCCCAGGGGTGAAATAACCTCTTTGTACAACTCTCAGACCCTGGTGTAGTGCAATATTCAGGGTGAATGAAGCCTATCTGATTATAAACTACTTAGCCAGGAGAACTCATGTATGTTTTTCACATTATCTCTTACAGCTCCCAAGCCTACCTTTTGCCCTACTGAAGAGACCTGGTGGCCAGGCCTGGTTATAATCATTGCAGTATGCTGTGCCACACTAGTGTTCCTCTTTGTAGTTGTCATCATTTGCTACAAAGCCATAAAAAGGTAAGACTGTGGACACCCTGATGGTACCTAGGACAAATCAACTCCTCAAAGTGCTTTAAGATATTTGGTTGCTATCTTGCCTCCTGGTATTCTTTTCCTGGTGTTAAAACCAGTTTTTATCATCTGACTTTTTTTTCCTGTGTAAAGGATGAACTTCAACGCACAAATATTCAGTCCTGAGGATGATTAAAATCAACGAAGTTCAGGTTTGAGAGGGAATCCTTCCAAGTTTGGGTGCTAAGAGATGTATCCAGGTTTGGACCTGGCCCAATATAGACATGTCATCTTCAAATCTGAATCGAAATCCTGTTCAGATTTTCCCCAGAATTCAAAGGTGTTCAGATTTCAGGTTGTCCACCATGAAACAACAACAACAACAAATCCCTTAGATAAATACCATGCCCCTCAACCCAAATCCTAACATACTTCATTTGTGGCTCTTAAATTATCCCTAATTATAGTTTCCAAATTGTCAACTTGAGACCCAAATGCAGAACTGAGTGTCCTAATTTAGTTTCATGTATGCACTGTATGTAAAAATCACTTCAGCTGCCATGAGTATAACCTGTCTCTACCATGCCAGCTGTCACTGGTACAGTTTAGATCTAGTTCGCAAACTAACAAAAACCCACCTACAAATTACTTTTGACTCACATCAAAAGTTGAAAATTTTTGGCTGGATTATGTTAACCCATGGTCAACCCAGTCGTCCCTCTTACTGAGCCATATCAGTGCAATCTGGCTCCAAGACCCAGTCCATAGAGAAGAATTGGAGCATAAGGCATTACAGCAGCATTTCTGAATGGGAATTTTTCATTTTTGGATGAAAACTGAAAAAAATCAATTTTCAAGTATTTGTATTTCTTTGACAAAGGTGGAAATTTTCTGCGGAAAGAAGGCACTTTTATTATATATTTCGTTTAGTCAGAAACCCAATGTTCCATCAAAAACATGGAAAATCATCCCAAGTTGACATCTCAAAGTTAGAACATTGTGTATGTTTTAAGAGCATCCATAAAACCTATCCAGTGGATCAGGAGAGGAAATGAAGAATAATGTAATCATTTGCAGACAGAGGGAGGTTTCAGAGGGCAGAAAGGAATGTTCTGTAATGAACCTACTTTATTAATGATTTTACCAAAATCAGCGTATTATTCTTTATCCAAAACCTGCATTTTTTTTCAATTTTGAGGACTTTTAAAAATTTCAGCTAAAATAGCTGAACTGTTTTAAAATGAAAATTTGTAGAGGAGTGGATGGTTAATGCAGCAGCATTTCAAAGGAGCAGCACTGAGGGAGCCCGGGATCAGCTGGAGTCCCTAGCTGATTCCGTCTCAGTGCAGCACTGCCCCTTAGAAAGGCCATCCCAGGAGCCCCAGGGTCCCTGGATTTTAATGCACTGCCCCTTTGAAGCTCAGGAGCGGCTCTTAAAAGTGGCAGTGCAGCATTAATGCCTGTGATTAACGTGTTAAAAAATTAACGCGTTAATCCTTCCCTGAGTTAATTGCAGGCATTAACGCACATCAATTGACAGCCTCATTGTAACCCAACCTGTCAGTCACTCATGACAGACTGAAAGCTATTTGTTGCTCATGACTATTCAGTGGCTTTGTGTGAAGGTCATTGGTGGTCTCAGTCCAATTCTAGTGGATAAATGTCCACAAACACCTATTGCATTTGGGCTAGATTGGGATAGTTATTCTGTTAATGATTTCTGGCAGAAACTCTGTGGTTGTAAAATACACTCATGACAGAAGCAACTTCTCAATTCTATATTCACCAAGCAAGGGATCTCTCTTCCAAGCAGTTATCTCCTGGTGGGAGGGAGTGTGTGGAAAAAGATGTTCTTGAAACTAAGGGCTTGTCTACACTTACGATGCTGTACTGGTGCTGTTGCATCTCTGTAGTACTTACTGAAGATGATACCAGCATCACATGGACAGTTTACCCATTGGTGTAGGTACTCCATCTTCCTGAGAGTCAGTAGCTATGTCAATGGGAGAAGACCACCCATAAACATAGCACTATGTATACTGGGAGTTAGGTCACTATAACTGCATCACACATTCCACATACTGGAGTGAGATTGTTACTGGAGTACTTACAGGGGAAAAACTGGTGCAGCTGGACCACAAATGTTGCCAGACCAGATTGCTGGGAAGCAGCTGGGAGTGGAGCCTGGGGCTGGCAGCTGTTGGAGCACAGCAGCCAGGGCTGGGAATTGGAGCCCAGTGGCCAGAAGTGGAGCCTGATAGCCAGAAGCAGAACCTGGCAGTCGGTGATTGGCTGGGAGCAGGGTGGGGGAGGAAAAGGGGGAAGAAGGATGGATGGCATGGCATAGAGTTCTGGCCCCAGTGGAGCTGCCTGGCGCCAGTAGCTGTGGACCGGGCCCAAATAGCTGGCACCACGGGTTGGGGACCAGCAGCTTGGAGCAGAGCCCAGAGTCCATAAGCCAGCAGCAGAGGGGCTGGTATTGACCTCCCCAAGTCCAGCCATTTCCCTAATTTGGGACCAGACAGATCCCAAGCAACATTGCTATCTTCTCAAACTACAAGGGAAACAAACATGCTGCAGAGATTTCTCTTAGGCCTAGTCTTCACTTATTAGGAGATCGACGCTATGTCTGGCTCCAGTGGCCGGGAAACTCCAGCCTCAGCCCCAGCTGCAGCCAGGGAGCTCTGGACCCAGCCATGGAGCCAGGTGGCTGCACAGCTCTTCCACAGTTGTGCATCTCTGGCCATGGCACTCCGGCCCCAGCAATAGTGGGGCTGGGGAGAACCCTGAGGTGCTGAGGTAGCAGCGCGGGCAGGCTGGAACCCTAACCCGGTGGCAGCATGGCCACGAGGGAAGGACCTTCCCTGGTACTCCCGGGGGTTGATTTAGCAGGTCTAAAATGGAATGTACTAAATCAACCTCTGATCATGCTCCTGTTGACTCTGGTACTCCACTGGGTTGTGAGGAGTAAGGGGAATCAACAGAAGAGTTTCTCTGCCAACCCCTGACAGTGGGGATGTCATGAAAAGTCAAACTAAGGTATGTCAACTACAGCTACACTATCCACATATCTTAATTTGGCTTTGCCCCCTACTGTAGACCTGACCTTAGTTAAATGCCTCCCATAATTACTCCTGATGCAATTTACTCCTTGCTGAGGGCAGTGTGTATAAACACAATCTAGCCCTTAGGAATAAATATACTTTTCTTCTTTTAATTTATATTTTCATAAGCAATGCATCAATTAATGGATGTAAATTAAATGCATTAAAAATAACAGTACAGTTGGGAAAAGTGTGAGTAAATTCCTCTAAAAGCTATTAACAAATGTAATACAATTCCTGTTTTCTTTTAAACTAATTCCCCATCCTCTGTCCAAGGTCAATATGATAACAGCTCCATCCCTGATTGTAAGCACTGCTATTTTTCCCAGATAAACTTTCCCTAATTTTGTTTAAAAGCCTGAACTTATCAGCACAATGTCTCTCTATAAAACTAAAACTGATCCAGTCATAGATGGGCAATCACCAAGAGAAAATAGATTGTTTTCAGCAGCGGAGCTGTGCCTTTTCCCTTGTATTTGAATGCAGTGTTGTGGTTGATGTAGCAACATGAAGAACTGTGGCCAGTACTGGATGGCTTGCTGCACCATGCAGTTTTCAAGCAACATCCAGTACACAGCATAGTAGAGTTTACTGCTCAGAAAACTGGTCCCAGGGGTGAAATAACCTCTTTGTACAACTCTCAGACCCTGGTGTAGTGCAATATTCAGGGTGAATGAAGCCTATCTGATTATAAACTACTTAGCCAGGAGAACTCATGTATGTTTTTCACATTATCTCTTACAGCTCCCAAGCCTACCTTTTGCCCTACTGAAGAGACCTGGTGGCCAGGCCTGGTTATAATCATTGCAGTATGCTGTGCCACACTAGTGTTCCTCTTTGTAGTTGTCATCATTTGCTACAAAGCCATAAAAAGGTAAGACTGTGGACACCCTGATGGTACCTAGGACAAATCAACTCCTCAAAGTGCTTTAAGATATTTGGTTGCTATCTTGCCTCCTGGTATTCTTTTCCTGGTGTTAAAACCAGTTTTTATCATCTGACTTTTTTTCCTGTGTAAAGGATGAACTTCAACGCACAAATATTCAGTCCTGAGGATGATTAAAATCAACGAAGTTCAGGTTTGAGAGGGAATCCTTCCAAGTTTGGGTGCTAAGAGATGTATCCAGGTTTGGACCTGGCCCAATATAGACATGTCATCTTCAAATCTGAATCGAAATCCTGTTCAGATTTTCCCCAGAATTCAAAGGTGTTCAGATTTCAGGTTGTCCACCATGAAACAACAACAACAAATCCCTTAGATAAATACCATGCCCCTCAACCCAAATCCTAACATACTTCATTTGTGGCTCTTAAATTATCCCTAATTATAGTTTCCAAATTGTCAACTTGAGACCCAAATGCAGAACTGAGTGTCCTAATTTAGTTTCATGTATGCACTGTATGTAAAAATCACTTCAGCTGCCATGAGTATAACCTGTCTCTACCATGCCAGCTGTCACTGGTACAGTTTAGATCTAGTTCGCAAACTAACAAAAACCCACCTACAAATTACTTTTGACTCACATCAAAAGTTGAAAATTTTTGGCTGGATTATGTTAACCCATGGTCAACCCAGTCGTCCCTCTTACTGAGCCATATCAGTGCAATCTGGCTCCAAGACCCAGTCCATAGAGAAGAATTGGAGCATAAGGCATTACAGCAGCATTTCTGAATGGGAATTTTTCATTTTTGGATGAAAACTGAAAAAAATCAATTTTCAAGTATTTGTATTTCTTTGACAAAGGTGGAAATTTTCTGCGGAAAGAAGGCACTTTTATTATATATTTCGTTTAGTCAGAAACCCAATGTTCCATCAAAAACATGGAAAATCATCCCAAGTTGACATCTCAAAGTTAGAACATTGTGTATGTTTTAAGAGCATCCATAAAACCTATCCAGTGG